GCTGCCTCCCCCCAGTTACCAGAAGGCAGGCTCAATTCTCCAACAACCTTAGCCGCCATTTGAAACCCGCCGGCGACCGAGCCGGTATAATGTTCGATAACTGCAATACCAGGAGGAGCAGAAGGCTAAGTTTTTCGTTAGATGTTGCCACTCTCTCCAGTGCTTCGTCATTTCCTATTCGAGCATTGGATTCTGAATGGATGAGTTTACTTTTTGTACTTCTCTTCTGAGACTTTGTTTGTCATCAACCGTTTCAAACCTGCTCCTTCTTTGCAACCATCCTGTTTCCAGACTTATCCACTGTCTCTGTCGTCTTTTCTTCCTTCTCAATTGCTCTTCTTCGGCAGGCTGCTTTGTCTACTGATATATCACATTTATAATCAATAGGAGTTCGAATCTTCTACCGATCGTGACATCATATGCTGGGGATACTTCTGGACATCCATCCCTGTAGACTTCAAACATTACGGCATTCTTTTGACTGCCAATGAAAAACAGCAGCTTTACTTTAAATTCGGCTATCATCAGTTAAACGGACACTCTCCTATCTTCTATGTATGATTAATGACTGCTGAAAATGAAAACATGGTCGATCTAGTTTTGCACTGATGTAGCAGAGGATCCTATACTATTTAATACATTGATCTGTGAGAAAACCTAACAGATGGATGGTGCCTCTCATGAAATTCTGCTAATCGTTCACTGTTATCGTTTCCCTGACCAGTACAGTATGATCCAAGGCAATGTATAATGTAATTCTTTATTCCAACTTTGGCATTTGAATCACTCAGAACTGTTAAGGTGTCACTTGTTCGGCACTGCAGCTGCAGCCAACACTGGGAAACGAAATCCTTTGTACCTAGCTCGAACCTTGCCATATTCATGGGGGCAATTTCTGTATTTCTACTGACGACCAGCGTAGCACCACCTCTGAGGCAACCACCTTCCGTTGTACTCCCTTGCAATAGAAACTACAATTTTCAACGGTCACAGGGCCTGTTGCAAATCTGTGCGCTTATTGCAGCTACCTGCATTCCTACACGATTCGGTTCTTCTGAGACCAATGTAGTCTGTCCAGGTCTGTAGCATTCGCACATTCAACGTAACAGGCTGTGTCAGACATTCAGCATTGAAAGTTTTTCTCTGTTTTGAAGCTTTCCGAATAATGGCATACAGAAATGATTAATATATAGCATAATCTCATGTTTCACTATCAGGAAG